ATATATATATATATATATATATGTATATATGTAGATGCCTTTTTTTTTTAATTTTTTTGTGGTTCGAAGTGATGTGTAAAATCTGGTTTATTAATGTGTGGAAATTTGCAGTTCATGTTAATTGTTTTGGCGAGCTCCATTGGTGAGGAGCTGTTCTATCGGGTTGCTGTTCAGGTGTGGTAACTCAAAAACATAAAGTAGCTTTATTTTATTTTATTTTTTTGACAAAGGAAAATTAATTGGAACATAATAGATTTGCCTATAGTACTAATAGAATTTTTTTTTATATTGGGCTATATATTTATTGTGCACACTAAAAAATTATAGATTTAATAAATAATTACCGATGTAACAAGCGCTCAGTTGTATAATCTCATTATTCATACGTGATACACTTTGGGTTTGCTATTCAATTGGACCTGATCTATAAGCCCTAATAAAATTTCAAGTATTTTGATTTTTATAAAACAACCTCCTACATCTTTTGCTGAACTAAAAAATTCATATTGATGGAACCCACAGCATATTTCTTAGAAATAAAATAAAAAAATCCTATGAAAATGGGTTTTGAGCACATATCCCGTCAAAATAAATTATCAAATTCATATATTTATGTGTACCATATCACGCTATTCAAATTTTGATATGAAAAAAACATATATTAGTTAAGAGTTTTATAATGAACTTTGATATTTGGATGAGAATATAGATGAGATAATTTATAAAAGGGAGATAGTAGGGTTATAGTTTTATAAATAATTACATATTAGATGTCTGTTAAATAATTGGCCCTATTTTAATAAAATGGATTGGGAGAAAGAAGCAAATGCTTAAATTTTCATGTTTTTTAAGCAAAATAAACATAAGTATTATTTAGTAAAACATTCTAGGCCGCCTAATATGCAATATCATTTACATTATAAAACAATTAATGTAAAACATGCGACAAATATTAGATATTATTGATAAGCAACTCTATTGATAGATAATAAATGAAGATATAAAGGCTTTTTAACAAGAAAACTTGCCCAGAAAAATGATGCACACTTTAGTTGGGATATCAGGGGTGATATCAAGGCAAGTTCACGCCAGGCAATCTTAAATTAAAATTGAAGATGTAGATTTTGACTCTTCTTCCTCAAGCAGTCAATTTAAAATTCAACTTTTTGAACAAAAAATGAATCAAATTCATTTATTTTTAAATTTTATTTTTATCGCCGGCCTTTCACCATCATCATGCCAAAAATTTTCATTCCATGAGTTCAATTAAACAAGTGTTGGCTTATTACAAAATAAGTCATTCCATTCTTCATTGTCATTTTATTATCCTAGGAATACAACCATGATATAAAACGAAAAGCTCATTTTTACGAAAGCCAACATATAAGATATCTCAAGTTCAACCCATGTGCATGTCATTAAAAAATAAAAAAAAGAGAGGAAACTACCATACCACATAACAAGCATTCATGAATAACATATTACATATTTCTCATCTTAGGCGTATATGTGAAGGATATATTTTTTTTTCATAGCTCATTACCTTCCTAGGCCATTGCCTGAATGGGGGATTATTGACCCAATGATGCATCTACAAGTCTAAACACTCATTAGTACTCTGATGGATAACCTAATGTGCAGGGCGGACTATCAGACATCTTTATGAGAAGCACTGAAATTCTAAAAGATGCGCGTGGAATCGCGTCTCTGGTAATTTTACTTGCCAACAAGAAAAATAGAACACGTTGGCTCTCTCTTCTAAGGATCTAATTTTAGACTTAATGTACTGTAGACTGGCGTGCTGCCTCCTTTGGTTCCATTTGCGCAAGCATTTGCTGCTGCAATCACAGCGGCCCTTACCGGATCCTTATATTATGTTGCAGCTGGCCCAAAAGGTCAGTTTATTTCCAAACTCTTCCGAGGAAATGGATACAAATTTCTGTATCATTCAGTTTTGTGTTCGTTTTTTTTTTATAGATCCTACGTATGTGGTGGCACCAGTGTTGCAGTCCAGATGTGGCCAGAATGATCTTAAGAAGCTCTTTGCAGGTTAGCTTTATGAAAGTCCGAAGAGGAACTCTTACAAATAATTTCATAAGAAATATGAAAAGAAAAATTATAGGAGTTTAGATGGGCCTGTTTGGAAAAAAAAAAATCTGACGGGTTTCATTTCATCATGCAGCTTGGTATGAGAGAAGGCAGATGAAGAAGATATATTCTCCGCTTCTAGAAGGATTATTAGCACTGTACCTTGGTTTTGAGTGGATTCAGGTAATTTATGCTACCGTCATTATCATTTTCATTCATTGAGAATCTACATGCATACCGCTCAATACCTATGTATCTACATAACTAACACCTAAATTTCAATTTTAACATATATGCCAGCTTACATATGCATGAAAAGATGTATTTCACTTTCTAAAAAGTCATATTAGCCTTATTTTTTAGGTGACATGAATGATTTTAGTGGTCTGAATGTAAAAAAGTAAACTTTAGGTGTTAGATATGTAAATACATGAGAAGCATGTTGAATTCATATAAATACCCTAATTTTCATTCATGTACTTTTCTAAGAACTTTGAAAAAGTATAGTAATTATGTCTTCTAATGATTTCAGACTGGTAATATTCTTGCTCCCATGATCACTCATGGTATCTACTCTACCGTGGTGCTGGGAAATGGACTTTGGAAAATTCATTACCACCAGCAACGGCTGCGCCATAGAATTCAGCAAATTAGGGTGGAAGGCGGTAACTCTCATAAATTATAGAAAAGGATGATTTTTCTTCTTGGCGCAAGGAGTAAATCAAAGACAAATCACACGCATGAGAGGACTTGGCTGTATAAATTCGAAGTACGCATCATTTTACAGTACACCAGGAGCTACCAGATATTCAGATGGAACAGCCTAGGCTACCTATATAATCAATAGCCTGTATATCATAATGTAAAGTGCTAATAAATGGGAATCTTCTACACCAGACCTAAAATTTTCCTGATGTTAAGCGGAAAAAAAAAAAAAAAAACTTTTGAGTTGTGAGGGTGAGGGTTGGAAGATTTCCTAAACATGAAGTAAAAATATTTGCAAATTATTGATGTGATCTTAACATCCCAAATGATTTGTTTTTCTTTGAAGCATTTTGTGAAATTTTGTAATCTGAAAGCTAGAGAAGACTCAGCATTCTCAAAAAGAGAATGTGTCGTTTAACCACTCTGAAGTGTTGAATCCTAAATTATATCGTGAATCACGCCGAATGAATAGAACGTCGGTCGAATGAAAGAGAAAGATAAGACACAAGTAACACACAATTTTTTAAGAAATTGTCTAACAATCCCCTTTTAATGAAAATGAAAGCAGGGTAGAGAAAATTAAATAATTGTCTCTCATTTAATGGGGAAATTATCATAATTCATGAGCCATTATATATATACATATTTGCAACTGAATCATACATGTTTTGACCATGTAGCCACTCTTGATGTCATTTCATAACTGTAACTACTCCTTAACATCGTTTTGTATCCGTAACTGCTTAGCTTGATCATTTGGTATTCATTCGATCGGCCAAGTGTCATTCAATCGACTAAATGACCATCGATTGCCTTTCCCGAGAGGACATAATGCGAAGACACATTGCCCTTGGGAATGATTATTCCATTAGGCAAAAGGTGTTTTACCGTAATATAATAGACAACATACTTTCGATCAAAGTTTCTACATTGAAGGAATTCCCTCTAATCGAGTGTTGATCTTTATAATGACAGAAGCTGATTAGGCAGGCGTTAAGGCTGTAGCGCGGTGTTCTTCGGGTCGCCAAGTCTTTCGTTCGTTTGGCTTTAGAGGTTGACTGGTATAATGATAAATGTTCATGCATCAATCCTCTTCGTGTGGTCCATCTTATTTTCTCAAAATTCTTGCAGACATATTTCTAATGTACATAACAAATTCTCTGATTCTCTTCTTTGAAAGTGACAATTGTCATAAGAATAACATAATTAAATAGCATGATTGTTCACATAATGAGTAATAAATATCGTCAATAATTATACGTTCTTTATTTTCGAGCCACTTTTCCTAATAAATAGGGAGTAAGGTACACTTTTCAGTTTTCTCATTTGCTGAATTCTATCTTTTAGTGATCTTATTTGTGAACGAATATGTCAGGTGCTAAGAAACCAGTGAGCAAGGAAGCACTAATGAAGGACTTTTGGCTTCCTGTTTAAAAAATTCACCCTTCAAGGAATAAAAGAAAGAATAAACTCAAAAGTTCCCGCCCAATCCAAAGGAAAAGAGGAGGTGAAGAGGCCTGACCGATCGACAGGAGAAAGGAAGATGAGAGAAAGATGGTTGGTACCAAAAGGCCGGTCAAAGATACCAAGTCTAAAAGATTCAAATAGTTAAACAACCGATAGCAAAGAAATCACATGTGGAAGAGGTTAGGGAATCATCCAATTCTATACCCGCTTCTAGAATTCCGAAGTCGGAAAGGTGGGAATGCTTTAGACTCTATCCTATTTTGTCAGCGTCCAGTTCAACTGCTGTCCCAAGAGGGGGAACCATTGGAGATGACCGTGCAAGTTATGCTGCTAGCATTCGCTTTGCTTCATCCTCCGACTAGGGAGGTCGCTCAAGGTGATACTCCATCCCAAGCAGATGATCTAATCCGGAGTTTAGCTGACAAAGTTGTCCAAGGAAAAACTCCACCAATGGAAAGTATTCGTCCTCTGCCTTTGGTTGAAGGGGCTCCTTAAGGAGGTAACCCTCATCTCGTTGCAGAGAGCTTTTGTACGTCAGATATAGAGCGCATGATTCGCAAATTAGATTTTCTTATTTGTTCGGTTCTTCAATTTATTCTTATAACACATACTCTAATACTGCAGAGGAACCCGTGGATATTATCAACTTCCGACTTGTAGAGACTGCATGTCAAAACAAGCCTGTGGAGAATGTCATTCCTTCTGCTCTTGTTGCAGCTGAGAGGGTATTCGCCTCGCTGCCTCTTTCGGCCCTACCACCTGCATCAGCAAACGTGGAGAGTGAGATTAATGACCGAAGAGAGTCTCTTGACTCGCTAGTTTGATGTATGGACGAGACAGCGGACTCCATTACTCGAGTTGTGAACCTTCAGAGGGAGGCCGTCATATCGGACTTGCAAGAGGCAATGGCGATGTGTATGCAGACATGGAGGCTCTCCAGGCCCATGTCGTGGATGTGGAGGTTCTTTGGGCCCAAGTTGCGGACGTGGAGGCTCTTCAGGCCAGGTTGCAGATGTGGGAGCTCTTCAAGCCCAGGTTGCAAATGTGGAAGCTCTCCAGGCCGAGGTGGCGATCCTACGGGGCAAACTAGCTGAATTCTGTGTCACGGTTCGTTCTCTCATGCTCGCACCGAGGAAAAGTTCGAGAAGTATAAGTTTAGTAGTGTGCATTGTATATGAGGCAGATGAATCAGGGTTTGGTCCTGTCAAAAGCAGTAAACAACTCAGCTGTAAAATATTTTTTTTTTATAAATAAAAATTTACAATATTTTTCATAATTTACTCATCATTGTTTTTTTTTTAATTTTTGTGCCGAAGTTACATCTTGGAGGAACCTGATGTGGCGCTTCGGCTTCCTCATGGGTATACATAGGTTTAAACGGATGAAAAGTTGAGCTTTTGTATTTTTCACTTTTGCTAACCCTTGGGTCCACTTATGTTTAGAGTTTCTTGGCTCCCAAATACTCTCCTAAAATTTTTGGGCTTAGTTAGATCGAACCACACCAAGTTTGAGATTAAGCTGTTGGATGAGACTTGTGTCTGCGACAGAAGTGTTGTCCTAGAGCAAGTAGATGCGGATGTCCAGGCTACTGAATACCTGGGTGACGATCTAATCTTCTACTGAGATCGATTCCGTTGTGAGCTTCAGCTGCCCTTGTGTACAGAGTTTAGTTCAATTTCAACTTTTATGATGTGATTCCAGCCCAAGTGAAGTCAAACTCCATGGTCGCGGTCATGATATATGTGATTTACTAGCACATAAGGGGTGTCTCTTGGTCCCGCGAACTGCTTTCGCATAATTTCTCCCTCTGAGTCGAACCAAGCGGGTACGTGGTTCTTGGCATTACCCGAAAGTTTCATTTAATCGATTTGGAGAACAAAATACAGAAATGGAAACTCTTATTTTTTTAGGGGTGTCACTGATGAGTGGGGCATCCCAACCAGGGCAACTGGTCGCTCGTATAAGAAGAGCAAGACAGTTTCCCCACAGCTGAAAGCAATGGAATAGGTTTTTCTTAGTCGACAACTGTCATTGATCCAATATAATGACCACCAAACTCTAAGTCAGGTGTTAAACCCAAATGAATATGGCCAAATGACAGAAGAGATGTGGGCTGCTTCTGACGAGGTCGAGGAGAAAAGGTAGCTACAGAGGACCGTCCGACTCTCTAAGAAAGTTACAAGGAAGAGAAAGAAAGCGGGTGGTTCCCCTGTGGGAGAAACAGAAGAGAGAACTGAAGAAGTTGGCTCATCAGAGGGGCGAATTCAAGGTTTAGACTTCGTTCATTCGGTTTCCAAAGAATAAAGTTACTAGAGAATTAATATTGATCGAACAAAAACCTCTCTCAGTGAAGATATGTGATTCAAGAGATGACACAACTCCTCTTTTCCCAATGGATATTGAAAGGTCTTAAAATTCCCCTCAACATGGAAGATCTCTCAGCAATCTTCAACTGGTTTTATCTGTCCGTCGAGGAGGGGTTAAGCAAGACGACAGTCGCCTCAGGTACAGGTTGAGGGAGAGTAAGTTGATGGATATTCAAGGGAAAACTATGGAAAAAGAGGCAGCAGAGCACAGAAGAACGGACAAAGTTGTCTCCTCTGACTCCTTCCTCCCAACTCTACCATAAAGTAAGAAAGGGGGGTCAAGATTGATGGATTCCCCCGCAGAAAAACCGACCAAATGTTTACATGAATTCTAATTCGAATCTTGGTCTAGTGAATATTGATAGGGATTGGTTTCCCTTAAATTTGACGTTGGTGAGATATGATATGTTTTCCAACATCCTTTGGTTAACATGCATGGATAAGCATCTCAACAAATTCAATCTAGTTGAGTTGTGCCAATCGCTCGACCGCTAACAGCTCCTAGGTTATGCTTCCACTCACCACTTGACTTCCCTCTACTTATCCATGAGGGATAAAGTTGCTAATTTTAAATAGACGGCTAAAAAATACCGGGAGCTGCCAGAGTTGGCTACCATGAAGGAGGTCGAGGTAGAGGCTCACTTGAAAAGATGCACAGACAAAGTTGGAAGTAGCATCCGAATGGATTTCTATGGTTCAAGAGGAGTATTGACTTGAAAGAGCGGATGTCTACTTGATTACCACTTAGGAACCCCTCACCACGCAAGTTGAAGGGGTGGGTCGTAAGATTGTGACTGATGAGTTAGCTCTAGTGGGGATGGTCGATTTCAAATATTCTAATCTTGATGAGTTTAAAAAACTCTACAATGCTCCCTCCACTTCTGAGCATCGCGAGGAAATAATGTGGCGAATGGCAGATAGTCTAACACTCAACCCAAAGATCCATAAATTCGGACTTTTCTTCTTCTTTTCTCTTTTTTTTAGTGTACATATTAAAATTTTGTAACAGACATTTAAATGAATGAAATGTGACATTTTGGTCATTTTTACTTGTGATCATGTGTTCAATTGTGCTAACCCTTTGTAACTATATTTTGCTTCATTTATATAGTTCACCCATCTTTATTGGAAATTGGAAAATAAAAAATCTCCGTAGGGCAATCATATATAGCTAAGTCTTTTATTCGCACTTTGGAATGTCGTTCGTAGTTTTTTGTGGTGACCTTGTGTTAGGATGTTTTTCGATCATTTACAATTGTATTGCGGCTAAGCGTTAAAACATATTTGGTTGACTTGTTTATGACCATGTGACCAAGCGTCGGAACGCTTTTCAGATCGTCTTGATTGCGATCAAGAGTCAGAATGTTTTTTAGGTCTTCTTGTTTGTGACCAAGCGTCATAACACTTTTTGGTCTTCTTTGTGGATGCTATAGTTCCCCAAGTTTTGTTGCGATATGAAGTCCATCAATCTGTTGGTTCCCCAAGCTTTTTTT